TGTCTTATCAGCTCAGGATCGATAGAAGCTAACTAATAAATGTGGATACAGACCTTTAACATTCGGTGGTTGAAAAGGCACCTCAAAAAGAAGAACAAATAAAAATCTTACGCAGTCGTAACGAAGTATCTTGAGTCGCAAAGACCATGTTTCATGTCGAGAACGTGCAGTTATGTTATTCACACTTTAGTACCTTTTGTTTATAATATTTGGGCCGTACATCAGTTCTGGTTGGTCATTCATTCAGTGCAAGCGTGAAAGGAATTAGGAAACCAGGTCGTATAGGTCAAATATGTTTTTGACGTAGTAGCGGACGTGTTAATTAATAACATAGCGCATGTAGGCCACGTACACAAATGTCACTCTGTTATCTCTGCTTACATTATGCATGCTCAAGTCTTAGCACTCTCGCAACACGACTCCCAAACTAATAACTAACATTAATATTCAGAAAACTTACTTTGTGGCTTCATATTCTTAACAATAATTCAACAATATTCCATCCCACGCATTCTCTTTGGAAAAGAAGTAATTATAACCGTAAACAAGTATCACGACAGTTAAAATTGCTTTCTTGTTAAATACTATAATTTATTTGTACATAATATTCATTCATTCATAAATGTGACAAAGGTCATTCTATCACTATATACACTGACAATATACCTTGTTTGATGTTCGTTGAATCGATTAACACTTAAACACTTGAAATACGAACATCGTGCGAATATTTTGTCTCGTCTTGAAAACATGGATGCCGGCAATCGATCCCCGGTGTACAGTAGTGAAAACTAACGTAAGCGTTGACTGTACAAAAGCATATGTATTATCAGCTCCCTTATTCTGCCCTGCCTCCTCCTCATGATATTTTTTGGCACCATTGATATTTCGAGACTCGTTGATATTCTTAGTATTCACTTACATGATAAGTTTTATTTAGACTTATTAACCGAGCGGGGAAAATCTGATTCATGCTATTTCTGTTTACCCCTATTGTTTTAAAGAGTGAAAAATAAAAAAAGGAATTAATAATTATTACCCTTTCCTTAACAATAACCTTTATAGTGCAAATAGTAAACAAGAATTGTCAGTGCGTGATGCGTAAAACGTTATTGCTAATGGTTTCTAACCATCGGCTACAAGAAATAATTCATTAAAAATATCTTATTGCTTGCTTTCTCTTTTTTTTGCCATTTCCATGAACATAAAAAAATAAGAGCAATCCTCTTGAATAATAATAATAATTATAAACTTAAGAGATGATGTCAGATGCATTGAAAAATTGTTTTTAATATCTATTGTTGACTTAAATAGTAAACAATGGTGTAAGCAGACGGTTCGTATTTACACAAAGATTTCTCTCTTATCCATTGTTTTCTAATAATTTTCTTTCGAATGCGATGATCAGATGACAGTGAAATCGTAAATCTTATTCAATATCCCTCGCGGACCTTTCTATAATCACATCTTAACGAACATATACTAATGATATGGTGAAAAAAATATATTATATAGCTATTTATTTGTGATCTTTATTTATAATACTATCATAGAAATTCTTCTGAGTACAAATGACGGTTATTGCTTGTACATTGGTCCTTCGAACCGGATCTGCGCCAACTAGCTATCGATCATGATAACTTCGATTACTACATCTTAATAATACAATAAATGCGAATGTTAAGATGGATTGATGAATGGATTTTTGTTTGAAGGTATCTCCAGAACGGCTGCATGGATCTCGCTGAAATTTGGCATAGATGTAAAACATACCCTGGAAGAACACATAGGCTAATTAAGTTTTTCTTTTAATTCCGCTCGGTCGGTGTCGCGGGCGATAGCTAGTAAATTATATACATAAGAGTGCATTCATGTTTATATACTTCCGATAAGTTTCATTCTGGCAACGACAGATCTCATTGTACTGTAGAATTGGCTTCAGGCTGATCTCAAATGAAACCAAAAGCCAAGAACACTGCGGCCGAGCGAGCGTGCGTTGCGCAACATTATTCAGGTCGGTTGCCACGCAGACTGCACTCCACTGTGTACTCGCTAAGGGCTTCTTTCTATAGAGTTTATGATCTTATATTATCACTATAAAACTGCAATAGCTCAAACGTAAACCGAGGCAATTCAAATTTCTGACGTCAACTAAATGAAAAAAAATCGTCAAACAGTTGTAATAATTTTAAATAAGTTCAGTGATTATCCGATAATCAAGCTTTCTATTTCGATGTAGCTGTTGCCCTTAAACTATTAAAACTGGTCTGTTAGTTTTAGCAATATCAAAGATATTCAATGGGATATGACGACATATTACATTTACGGCTTTGATACTGATTACGGATACACTGATTTAAATAATTCTACGAATAAATGTTCGTCGTTCTATAGAAGTATGATAACGATGAATTACTCTAAGTAAGAGCAAAAGCGATATGAACATGATGCAAGACGCATTTATCTTAACAATGCAGCTTGTCTAAATGATATCATAACGCTATACCATGTTATAAATTAAAAACTTATCATACAAGTAATTATGAGTCCTTTTTTTGCCAATTTATATGATTAAAGATAGTTTTTGCAAAAATAAAATATATTTGCAAAATTATTTTAGTTCAATGTCCCATAATAAATAAATAGAAAAATATTTTTTAGTCTTTTTTTTATTAAAATGTGCTACGTACACCATTTAATTTAAATAAAAACAATTATTGATATCTTGTCAGCATTCCATAAGTTTTTGATGGTTATTGTATATGAAAATGTCAATAATCAAACATGTCATTGGCTAAATCAATGTCCGTGACGTTTGTTTCTATTGTATTAAAACGCGCACGTTTAACAGAATTCAATACAATAGGGTTCAAGGAAAACACTCGTAACAGTCGGTGAGTAAAAGTTTAATATTCACCCTGTGCCGTCCACAACGAACCCCTCTGCATTATTCATTGATCGAATCCGTGGCTGCTTACGCCGTCGCCGTCGCCGTCGCTTACCATGTTTTATCTCAAATTCTAAATATTTTTGTTGCTTGCAGTCTTCGAACAACAATACATTTGTTGTTCGAAACTCGCATTGTTCCACGACAAGGAATAGTTTAGAAGAACTAAAGTATTCAAAGAAGTTGTCAATCATTCCAATTACCATATAATGTTTTAAACGAAAGTAATTCTTTATTACGTAGTATCCAATCACGTAATAATTGTAAGGCAATTAGAAAAATACTACATTTACTGTGGGTACTTTCATTTTAAAGTGAATTCAGTAAAAACTATCTGAAAAATTTTGCAATTCAAAAATTTTCATCATATCCTTAGGTACTACAAAACTTTATCATTTGTCGTTCAGTATATTAATAAAGAACATAGATTTTATTATAGTGCTTGAAAAAATTGAGGCATTTCGAGGTGTCACATGGATGTATAATATTATTCATTGCTACATACACTTGTCAGATTTCTTTTGCTGAAACCTTAGCTCGCTGTTATTACCCTGGAAGTACAATAAAATGACTTCATGTTCCACTATATGCACAAAGAGTAACACGATCTCATGCAGATGAAGACTTTCAGATAGCTGTCCATATTTGATTGATGGAAACTATGGCGCAAGCTTAAAACGAAGTATTACACACCATTATTCCTCCCTCATGTATTTTGTAAATGCTCAAGAATTTGAAATTTTATGTCTTACTTTATTATAAATGCGAAATTTTAGATGTAATGATGGATGTTTGTACGAAGGTATCTCTAGAGCGTATTGACTAATCTTCATGAAATATGGCATAGTTGTATAATATAGTTTGGACGAACACATAGGTTAATAATTTTTTAATACCGCCCGGACAGAGTCGCGCGCGATAGCTACAACACTATATGAGTATTCATAATTTACGTTATCTATTTCTTTCCCGTTGAACTGGATAACGTTCGCTGAACGATAAAGTATACTTGCCTCGAAGAAAAAAATCATGTCACCGTCCCCTTATCAGTTTTGATTTAATCTAGAGGCATGGGCTTACGTCTGTTATCTCGTTGTGACGATAAAATCAAACATTTCTGAAGATACGGCATATCTTCCCTCCTACTAGAGTTTTTTTGCTGGTGCTATTATATTATTACTCGTTCGTAAAACGAGTGACGAACGCGTTTATATTATCAACACAATGACCGCGGTAGTTGCGCCACTCTTATCATATACGTAAGACAAAATATACTCCGCCTTTATAAATTAGGTCAACAAAGATATTGCATTGCTATTTCTCTGCATAAATATCATTACACTGACATATTGTTTGACTATAAAATTCTCTCTGAATAACTGAAATGCCACAAGAGTCTACTACATCTTGTGATGGAAGTTGTGCGGTCAAATAGTGATATATTGATGTGTTTTAAATGATCGGCGTTGGGTAAGAAGTGTGTCTGCACACGGTATAGCGGTGTGGATGGCGTCTATTGTTGGCGGCATCCCGTTGCCGTCTATTATTGACTCTCCTCTGGAGATAGTTGGCGGCACGCCAGCGCAGACCACGTGTGCCTCGTCGCGCCTCGGTCACGGGACGAGACGTGCGCTGCGCCTCCCGCACGCCGATCGTTACCGAATGTTCTGTCGAAACCGAAACTAATATGCTACTTCCTAAATCTTTGAGCTTTAAATATAATGTCGCGATTAAATAATAATGCTAACTCTCCCTACCGGTGAATTGATTTCTTGCATGTCTGTTACTATTGATTCTATGATACGATCTAAATGCCTCCTCGCTTTTGAACACCGTACCCTGATTTTCTTCAAGATGTTGAAAAATATGTATGATGTTCTTCTTACTTACGTAATAGTGATTAGTCAATCGTATTGTAATGTCTTCTCGTTGTGAATGTTCTTATCTGTTTGTGGTCCGTCAAGTAACCTATCGACCGACCCGCCTGCAACAGGGCGCGGTTTCGTTGTTAAACAATCAAATAATAATTTGTTTATTTGCATTGTTCGTTTAGTCGATAAAACGGAGAGCAAGCAACGGTTGAAAATGAAAAAGGAGATAGGTGTTAAGGTCGTGGGCTGTAGCAACGGACACGCGAGCACGCCCAACGGCCGTGCCGACGACGAGGGCGGCGGCGGAGCGCCCGCTCCTTCGCCCCCGCGCGCCTCGTACGCCGCCGCCGCCGCGCGCAGGCCTCAGACCCAGGCCTCGCCTCAGACCACGCCTCAGACCTCGCCACAAACCTCGCCACAAACTAATATGCCACAAACCGCACCACCGCATTTCACTTCGAATGCCGGTACATAATTCATTCTAAATCGTTTAAACCTTCTAGAGGTTCTAGTTGTTCGTAAATTACTTCTTAATTCTTCATTTCTGTTTCCAGATGGTCAAAAATCTAAAGTAAATACGGAGAAGCCACAACAAGCCAAGCCCAACGGAATCATGGCGAAGGTCAACGGTGAAGATTCCTCTTCGAAACCGGATGACAGTAAGAAAGACGAAACGAGTACCAAAGAACCAATTTTAAATGGCACAGAAATTACTAACGAAAACATTGTCAATGGTGACCCAAAAACATATTCAGATTGTGATATTAGTAGTAGTGATAATGGTAAAGTAGTTACAAACGGAGTCACTAGCGATTCCGATGACAATAAATCTATTAAATCCGAAGAGGTAAAGAAAATGAAAAGTTCGCCAGCGACAGAGGTTGAAACAAAGCAAACTAATGATAAAAAGAAGGTTAATAAAAAAGCGACTGCTACAGAAAAAAGTATTGAAACCGATAATAAAAAGACAACGACTAATCAAGTTACTGAAGACAAAAAGGAAGAGGTCAGTAATACAAAAACTGAAAATGAATTAGAAAAAACTAACGGCGAACTAAAACTGGTAAATGGCGATAAAGACTTAAGAGAATCTTCTCCGAGTGAAGATGGAGATGAGAAGAAGAAGGATGCTGAAGTTGTATTTATCCAAGACTTAGGTTTCACAGTCAAGATTGTAAGCCCGGGAGCTGAACCATTGGATATTCAGGTATTTATAGATTTAAACTATTAACTTATTATATTGTCAATATTGAACTCTATGTAAAATGTATTATATAATTACAGGTTTCCAGCATGGAGCTGGTGCAAGAAATTCATCAAGTACTGATGGATCGCGAGGACACGTGCCACAGAACGTGTTTTTCTTTGCAGCTAGATGGCGTTACTCTTGATAATTTTGCCGAATTAAAAAATATCGAAGGTCTAAAAGAGGGATCAGTAATAAAAGTAAGTATTGAAGTCAATCCAAATTCTTAGAGGAAATTAGCATAGACATTTAATAGTGTATCTAAAATTCTAAAATGGAAATTTTACAAAAGTAACATGTAAAAGTTCTTAAAATCTTTATTTTTGAATTTCTTATTGAGCAGCATCGAGTTTCATCCTCCAAAGCATTATTTCAGTAGTCCATCTCTTCGTATGCATTACCCCTGTCGACGTGTTTACATTTTTATATCAATTACTAGATGTCGCCCTCGAATCGGTAAGTGCGGAATTTAAAAAACTTAATATGTGTTCCAGACTATGTTCTATATGTATGCCAAATTTCATCGAGATCCATTTAACCGTTCTGGAGATGCCTTCAAACAAACATTCATCCGTCTAAACTTTCCCATTTATAATATTAGTAAGACTGCTATAATTTTCCAGCTGTGAACTAATTTCACTGATAACCATTTCCAGGTGGTAGAGGAGCCATACACAATGCGCGAGGCTCGTATCCACGTGCGTCACGTGCGAGACTTACTCAAATCAATTGACTACGTGGACGCGTACGTCGGCCAGGAATGCAGCTCGCTAGCTTTCTTAAATATTATCACTCAAGGAGATATTCTTGGTAAGTGTATAAATTAAGTACAAAGCAATCTTCTAATAAGTAAAAAAAAACGAATCTGGATATCATTATAAATATTGTTTTTATGCTATAGCTTAAATTTGGCAATTTGACCTTGACTTTTCGAACATTTAGTATGGGGTAAAACATATTGTTATCTCTGTTTCATCAAAGGTAATGATAGAGATGACGAGAAATTTTATACAGATATTTTGGTCTCAGAAACTAACGGTTACTACCTCAATTGTGGCAGAAGCACTCATGATACATAACATGTACATTTGACATTTGTTAAACTTATATTTTAATTGGGAGATAACGAGTATTGTTTTAATTTGGCAATGTACGATGTTACAGAGAAAAAGAAATCCCGACCAGAGAGTGTAGACTGCACGCCTCCAGATTACATAATGCCCGGCAGCACAGAGCGGCCATTACTGCCTCTACATCCTGGCCTTACTAAAGAAAATAAAGCACCGCAGTGCCTTAAGGTAATATTGTTTTTTATTTAAGAATTATAACTAGATTTCTTTTATAATTATAAGATATATACTGGTTCATTTACTCTATTAATGTATTGTTCTTACTTAGGCCTTGTTCGCACTGGCTAGTACTTTAGTCAAGCAGCTAGCAATTTAGTAACTAAACCTTTCTGAATACTGAAAATTTAGCCGAGTTGATTGGTATATTCTTTAGTCCAGTTACATACTAGCCTGGTATGAAGAAGACTATACAGGTTTCTCTCTAATTTGAGTTTGTCTTAACTGAAAAATGTTCCTTATAAAGGTTTCTGGCTTATCCAAGTTGCTATGTATTTGAATATTTAAATTTATTATTGTAGAATTAATTTGCATTGACAATTTATAGCTCATAGATAAGTTTTATTGTATAGCTGGTATGTTTATCAACGCTTTTTTCATACTTATTGTATGTCATGTTAGGTGCTGACGACGTCAGGCTGGAACCCTCCGCCGGGTCCGCGCAAGATGTGCGGTGATCTGCTGTACTTGCATGTCGTCACTCTCGAGGACCGACACTTCCACATCACCGCCTGCCCCAGAGGATTCTACCTCAACCAGTAATATACATTTATCCATACCCGATTACCATACAACACAAAATTATTCATACAATACTAAGTTAACATCATAAACAGCCAGTAAATAGTTCAATTGCAGATAAGTAGCTTATGAAAGAAAGAAAACCTAGAAAGTTAAGGTCTTGCCTAAATGTTTTTTTCTATACGCTACAAGGGAAGAGGTATCTTGTATAATAATCTGTTTTATTAAAAACTTACTGAACTCAGGACCAATGCCAGTTTTAAAAACCAAAACAGTACAAGTAACTATATAATTTCTTTAAACAAAAAAAATATTTTGTTTATTTTTTTTCTTTAATTCTGAATGCATAGAGCATATACCTTTTTGGTTTATACAGTTACAAGCGATTTTGTCAATGTAGAAAATAAAAAAGAATGCATTTTCGTGTTACATACAGACATTCCAATTTTATTAATCATATATAATTAATTCTTTTAACAGGTCAACAGACGAAGTGTTCAATCCTCGTCCATCGACCCCGTCCCTGCTGTGCCACTCGCTCATAGAATTATTGAGCATAGTTTCCCCCGCCTTCAAGAGGAACTTCGCGCTGGTGCAGAAGAAGCGCATGCAGAAACATCCCTTCGAGCGCGTCGCTACACCATACCAGCTCTACCAGTGGGCCTCGCCTATGCTGGATCATACTGTTGATGCCATACGAGCTGAAGATAGTAAGTTACATCTCATTTCATATATCTTGTTGGCTCAAGGTCATGTGCTTCGCAGTGCTCCTAACATTGTGTTTTCGCAGCGACTTGCAACCCGTAAACATATGTCAAGACATTCTCCGTCGATCAAAGGTAGACAACGCATATGCAATTGCGTATGTCTATGGGCTACGGTTGCTTCGCTATTTCAGTGGTTTCAGGTGGCCGCTTGCTCGTTTGTCACCTTATGAGATGAAAAGATGACAGAGATATAGGGGAATAATTGATTAAAAGGGTATCATTTTATTTTAGGTCTATTGCCTTTATTTAATAATAATTGTGTACTTGTGTCAGCGTTCTCATCGAAGTTGGGGTACGAGGAGCACATCCCGGGGCAGACGCGCGACTGGAACGAAGAGCTGCAGACGACACGCGAGCTGCCGCGCGCCACGCTGCCCGAGCGTCTGCTGCGGGAGCGCGCCATATTCAAGGTCTCACACCTCACATGTCTCACACACCTCACATACCTCACACACCTCACAACTCGGGTACCTCACATATTTATTTCCTTCTCACCTTTATTCCATATACTTATTGGATCAGTACCACATGAAGAGTTATGGTCTTCCTTCATAAGACATACTCGGCTACGTCAACGGAAGAGAGAGAGAAAGAGAGAGAGCTTAATCGCATTTAACACAATGAACCAGTCACACATGTAGTTCCATATTTACTAGTATTGAATTACATTTACTTTAATTTATACAAGTATTGCTTTCCTAGTTCACGAAACCAACATAATCGGATCCGAAAGTGATTGTTGACGATAGTTGTTGTATGCAGGTGCACAGCGACTTCGTGGCGGCGGCGACACGCGGCGCTATGGCGGTGGTTGACGGTAACGTGATGGCCATCAACCCAGGCGAGGAGCCCAAGATGCAGATGTTCATTTGGAATAATATATTCTTCTCGCTCGGCTTTGACGTGCGCGATCATTACAAGGACTTGGGTGGCGACGCAGCCGCTTTTGTAGCACCGGTGAGTTTCAATAAAAGATTTGATTATTCTGGAAATAAGATTTTTTTAAACCGGTAGGCTACAATTAAACCCAGATCGCCTGGCCTCAGACTAAACGCAAACCGTTTAATGCCATGTTAACATTATTCCAGTCCAGCAACCGAATCTGGCGTTAAATTATAAAAGAATAAATATAAACTAGCGCTGGGATCTACAATGTATATTTACAAACCTTTACTTTAATATAGTGCTGGATTAACTGGAATGATGTAAACGGGTCGTCAACGCTTGACTTTAGTCGTTAATATGTAATGTATGTATAGCGCAACGACCTGCAAGGCGTGCGCGTGTACAGCGCGGTGGACACGCCGGGGCTGCACACGCTGGGCACGGTGGTGGTGGACTACCGCGGGTACCGCGTCACCGCGCAGTCCATCATACCCGGCATCCTGGAGAAAGAGCAGGAGCAGAGCGTGGTATACGGCAGCATTGACTTCGGCACCACTGTCCTTTCGCATCCCAAGTATATGGAGCTGGTAAGTTCATCACTTATTATTTAAAAAAATGGCTGTAAGTAAATAATAAGAAAAAATCACCATCTCAAAGGCCGGCAACCCATCTGCGGTGCCTTTGGTATTGCTGATGTCCATGGGCGTCATGTACACCTAGGTGTTCTCGCTGCTCGTTTGGTCCTTGATTTTATATAAAAAAAGAAAAATCATAGTACCAAAACGCATATAAAAATAATTGAATTTTCGTTTTTTCTATTTTTCAAACGAATAAAACATTATTTTTCTGAATAGCAATTATAAAGTACAAGAAAGCTTACCTTGTTTCTACTTCTTTTGTAAGAACAAGGATTCCTGTAACTTTTATATTTATTGTGTCATACAGCTCAGCAAAGCAGGCCAGCAGTTGAAGATAATGCCACACTCAGTGATCAGTGCCAACGGGGAGACGGTGGAGCTGTGCTCCAGTGTGGAATGCAAGGGTATCATCGGGAACGACGGCCGCCACTACATACTAGACCTGCTGCGCACCTTCCCGCCTGATGTCAACTTCCTGCAATGTTAGTGTTAACACCACATAATATTTAAAAAAATATTGCAACAAAATCCCTTGCATACCTTTTAAGTGGTAAAACATATTCCATGATATAATCTTACTTTTTACTAATATTATAAATGCGAATGTTTAGATGGATGTTTGTTTATTAGAAGGTATCAAGAATGGCTCAACAGATCTCACAACAACTAATTAAGTTTTTTTTAAATACGCACGGACCGAGTTGAGGGCGACAGCTAGTCTCACATTAAAATAGATTCGAAAATTCTTGTATTTGTAACCCACCAATGAATGCCCTATAATAATATGTCAGTTGGATAAAATGTTTTAATACTTATATTTTCTTTTCAGTGGAAGACGACGAGTTACGTGAAGATATTAAATCCATGGGCTTCCCAATTATTCACAAACACAAACTTTGTTGCCTTAGACAAGAATTAGTTGATAGTTTTGTAGAGTGAGTATCTATTCACATTTATTTAACTAAATACAATATCTGACTAATATTATAAATGCGAATGTTTAGATGGATGGATAGATGTTTGTTTGATGGTACTCTAGAAAGGTCCAAAGGATCTTGATGAAATTTGCCATGGATGTAGAATATATTTTGGAAGAACACATTGACTAATATTTTTTTTTTGTTAATTCCGTGCGGACGGACTCGTGGGCGACAACTAGTAATGATAAATATATTCTTTATTTTTTTTTTGTTTTAGATCACGTTATTTCATGTTTATAAGATACGCAGCGTTCCACTTGCAACAGTTAAGTGCGAAACGTCTGCGTGATACTTCTGAACTGAAGTCTGTCGAAGCGAAAAAAGAAGAAGATAAGAAAGAAGTCAAGGAGATTGAACCAAAAGACAAAAAGAGAGAAACGAAGAGTCAAGAGAAAGAAGTAAAGGATAAGAAACAAAAGAAGGATTCGAAAAAGAAAGAAGAGAAAGCAGAGATGAAGAAAGAAGACAAAACTGAGGTAAAGAAAGAAGATAAAGCTGATGTAAAGAAAGTAGAAAATGTCGAAGTGAAAAAAGAAGACAGTACCAAAGAGGAGCCTGAAAAAGCTAAAGAAGTTAAGGAAGAGAAAGATGATAAAGAAAAAGAGGAACAAATTTTACTAAATGAAAATTACTCTGACATTGATACTGATGTTGCTAAGAAAATAGTCGAGAGTATAACAGACTCAATTTGCAATGGAGAAAAACAGGAGACCGACAGTGAGTAATAATAATGAATTACGGGAATTCATTATTAAAGAATTATTAAAATTCTTTAAAAATGCTTGTTTTTAGGGATTTCACGTTACTGTTCTTGTAAAAAAAATTAAATGATCCAATGAACTAATATTTATTTAGCAGCATCACATCTTGATCCAAAAGTCCAGGGCTTTTAAACTGACTAGAAAACTATTTCTTTTTCTTTATTTTTTTTTTACTGGCTTGTAATCTTTTGAATATGTCAGACCCATAGAAAACTAGTTGTAAACAGATGGTTTGCAAAATTTTATGTGTTTGTAAATTGTTTGATGAATATCTTGATGAAAAAGAATATTTGACAGGTAGCGACAGGTCCCGTGCAGTGGTGGCATCAGCAGCTCGTGCGGTGGCATCACTCAAGGAGTCTGAGTTTGATGTGCGCTTCAACCCCGATGTGTACTCAGCCGGTATCAAGCACGCAGCACCGCCTGAGCAGCTCGCACGCCAGCGACATCTCGTCAAGGAAGCTGCAGCCTTCCTCCTTACCACGCAAATACCTGCCTTTGTAAGTGCTAATCTAAATGGTGCTGAATCTTAATAAAGTTCAATCAAAAATCTAAACTTGTGCAAATTGTAAATAATTTTACAAATATAATATGACATGTGTGTGTGTTAGGTGCGGGAGTGCCTGGAGCACAGCGCGGCGCCGATGGACGGTGCGGGGCTGACGGAGGCGTTGCACGCGCGCGGCATCAACGTGCGCTACCTGGGCCGCGTCGCACTCGCCCTGCGCCCGCACGCCTCGCTGCAGTACCTGCACGCCATCGCCATCGCCGAACTGCTGTTGCGCGCCGCCAAGCACATATACACCGCATATCTACAGGTGGGCCTCTAACTGCGGCTGCGAGCATAATATGAACACTAATTGACGCTAAAACAGTTCATGCCAAGCCAGCGCTACCCTCCTACTGTATTGGCATAATGTAAACCAGGTACCAAGGGTCATGAATTGATATTTTATTGACAAATAAACGAGGGCGACAATTTGTGTACACTACCCTGTGCCCGGATGAGAAATCTCTAGACGTTTGCTACTCTGTGCGCTTTCAGAATTGCGAGGCGATGTGCACTGGCGCGGCGGCAGCGCATTTCCTGAGCTGCCTGTTGGGGGCGTGCCCCGCGCCGGCCGCCGCCCCCGCCGAGTGTCCCCTGCCTGCCCGCGCTCGCCCCCGCGGCCGCCGCGCACGCAGGCACACGCGCGCCTCCTCGCCCGCACCCGCAGCCCCCGCCTCGCCCGCCGCGCACTGGCAGAACCTCACGCCCAAGTCACTCTTCTCACAGATCAAACATGAACTCAAGGTAAACACAACAAAACAAACTATTTCTATTTAGAGTAAACACTTTGCATACAACTGTGATATATTTATACGTTAGTTTATTCGGCAAATAATCGTTGGTTTCTGAGACAAAAATATCTCGGAGAAAACATGTTCTATCTGAGTTTTGTCAAAGATAATGAGAGGGATGATAATATGTTTTATACAGCAATTTTGATGTCAAACCAACGATCAGTCATGGAACTGAACGTATTGAAACGTTTACTCTACTTTATTTTTTCAGGCATACTGGGGTTACGAACTTAACGCTGAGAACATGGACGTCGTTATAGAGAAACATGGCCTGCAGAAAATTTCCTTACTCAGGTATGACCTTAAAAAAATAGGCTGTGCTCTGACATACTTATATATTTTTTCAATCAATATAATATATTAATGTTACTGTAACCTGTTTTCAGGTCCTTCGCGCTGAAAGTAGGCCTGCAAATCCTATTGCGAGAGTACGACTTCGACAACAAGAACAAGGCGCCCTTCACGCCTGCAGACATCATGAACATATTCCCTGTCGTCAAACATATCAACCCCAGGGTCAGTATTGCGATCATGTAAAAATAGTGTCTAAATAAAAAAAAATACAATAATCTTAACCTAATTAAAAATATTGTGTGACTGTTAGGTGCTATTGTATGAAAATCAATAAAATTGTTTGTTTGGTCAGGCATCCGATGCTTACAACTTCTACACGACGGGTCAGAGCAAGATCCAGTCGGGCGCGGTGTCGGAGGGGCACGAGCTGATCGCGGAGGCGCTCAATTTGCTGAACAACGTGTACGGCGCTATGCACGGCGAGATCGCGCAGTGTCTGCGTATGGTGGCGCGTCTTTGTTACGTTACTGGTGACCATCGTGACGCAATGGCATACCAACAGAAGGCCGCCCTCATGTCGGAGCGTGTTAACGGCATCGACCACCCATACACCATCACTGAATACGTTAGTTTTACATAAAATTATTTTATCAATCTTACTTCTTACTAATATTAAATGCGAATGTTTGGATGGATGGATGTTTGTTTGAATTTATCTCCAGAACGGCTGAACAGATCTCGATGAAATTTGGAATACATATAGGAAATAGTCTGGAAGAACATATAGGCTACGCTATAAATCGCTAGTTCTATATATATCCGAAATACAAAAACACATTTTATGTCTTTGAAGAAAAAATAACTTTTTTATTGAGCTCAAGAACAAAAGAAGTATCAGGCATGAATGTTATGTCATACATATAAGTAACGCATATTCAGAAAGTTTTGAATATGAAGTGATGGCGTTTGTATTTTCAGTCTCACTTGGCGCTGTACTGTTTCGCCAATGGGCAGGTGAGCACGGCGCTCAAGCTGCTGTACCGCGCCCGCTACCTCGCCCTGCTCGTCTGCGGCGAGAACCACCCAGAGATGGCGCTGCTCGATGTTAGTACACACGCTTACAAAATTTATCCAATGTTTTGAAGAGTTTGTTCCAATCCGATAATAACAATATAGTTATAGGGTTTAATTATTTATAATGAGCTTTGGTGCATAACAAAGTGAATAACAAAAAAATAATTGTGTTTGTTATGTATTGTATAAATAGAGCAACATAGCGTTGATCCTGCACGCGGTGGGCGAGTACGAGCTGTCACTGCGGTTCGCGGAGCGCGCGCTGGTGGTGACGCGCAACTCGCACGGCGCTCGCTCGCTGAAGGCGGCCGTGGCGCGCCATCTGCTGGCCCGCACGCTCTCCTGCCTCGGCGACTTCCGCGCCGCGCTGCACCACGAGAAGGAGACATACTCCATATACAAACAGCTCGTGAGTATATACTGACAAACACAAGTATGCACATGCTTTGATGAAAACTTTTACGAGAATACCTAAGAGAATGTGAGGAAGACGCGTTTAAAATCCACCCTTTTCTACATAAAAGTAATATTAAACTAACATCATTTAATGTAATGTATCTTCGTGCTTTAGTTGGGTGAGAAGCATGAGAAGACGCGCGAGTCATCAGAGTGCCTGCGGCACCTGACGCAGCAGGCGGTGGTGCTGCAGAAGCGGCTGGCGGAGGCGAGCGCGCGCCCCGCCGGGCACGGCCAGCACGCGCAGCACGCCGCGCCCCTGCACATACAGCCGCCAGCCATGGCCTCCGTCATCGACATGCTCAACCTCATCAATGGCATACTCTTCGTACAGATTAGGTGAGCCACCACTCACGTGTTCGTTGTACATATACCCTAAGTCTCGGATATTGTATATTATTCCTCATTGTATTATTACCCGATTTGCTATACAGTAAATTAATTATTTCAGTCCTCAAGACATTGAACAATTCAAAGCGGAGATAGAGAAAAGACAGTTGAAGGACTTGGCGATCCCTGGCTTGGGCGAGTTGACGAAGGTCGCGGAGAAAGAGGAGTCCCCCTCCCCGGTGCCTGCGTCGACAGCGCCCTCTGTCGCGACTGACGCCAAGGAGAATGCGAGCGACAGTTGAAGCCTTTAGGCCGGTAATGTGTTCTTTAGGCTACAGTTAGCGTTAGTGAACCGAGCACACGCAACGAACTCCCCACTACTCATTACTGAGCGGAGCAATGCGTGACGTCATTGTGGGCGTAGCCTCGATCAGTAAGTACGCGCGTATCAGGGAATTGTGTGCGAAAATTTTAAATTATTTAGATTGTTTTATTATCATTGATTGATATTAAATTAATGACATCTGGTGCAATATAAATCCAAAAAAAAAAATAATTGTTGGTGAAAAAAGTAGCAGAATGAAGTAAATGTACTATGAGAAAAGTATAAGCCAACCATATAAGAAAATATTGATATTTTTTTGTGTGTGCTCGGTGTTAAAGGCGGACGTTATTTTTAAATTATCGATTGATGATATTGTTCCTTATCTATGAATGTATGCCGTAGTGGATAGTGTGCTAAGGTTTGATGTAGATTTTTTTTTGTTAGTCAAATTTTCGATGATTTTATTTTGATCAAATTTAATTAAGCGTTATTTTATAATAAAAATAAAAGTATAATGAATTAGGTTTCTAAAGCGATGGGATTCTTTATTTCGCTCAAAAGTAATGTGGTTTTAATTTGGTTATGCCTCAATTCGGGAGTCGCAAATTCACGGACAGCCAGCGTAGTGCAATGTTGAAGTAGTTGTAATAGCAATAAGTTTTGGTTGTGAACCCCGGGGGCCGCGCGTTCTGTCATGCCACTGGTGCTACTGCCATTTTGTCCTTTCTTCAAACACAAAATGAATTATATCAATTGTTATATTATCTAGTATTATTTCTTTTTCTTTTCATAGTGCGGGAATATATTGTTGAAATGCCCATAGACGTAGATGAGATTATATTGTCATTGAAATGTAACAAATTTGTGGATTTTTGCTGTTATTTATTGCCTTTATGTAATGTTTCTATGTGTATCAGAGAGGTGCAAGTCTCAATTATTAGTTGCCCGTTTGTGATCCAGTGTGTTAGTGCCATAATGTAGTTGTTTGTAAGTTCCCCGAACGTAAAGTTTCCGTTAGTCTGTGATATGTGTACGTCAACGCCACTTGCCTTCTTGATGCAATACAAATTAAAGGTTATTATAATTATAATCGAAATGCTTTGTGTCTAGATATATTAATAAATCAATAATTTTATCGTGTAATATTATGTATTTGATCTATAGTGCGCGTTCAAACATTGTGCTTTGTTAAAGAATAGCCTCTTAACATTTAGTCAGTTTAAAGATATTAAATGTTACCAGTAAACATTATAGTGGTTGAACAAATATAGTCAAACCTGTATAAGTGAGAATCTTCATCCAGCGGCCAACCTTCATAGGCGAGACACTCGGGTAAAAGAGAAACCTTGTGGAAAATATCGCGGTTCCTTGGATTCTTACTTATCCAGTTTCAACTGTATTTGTGGATGAAGAATTATCATGTAATAACTTTAATCTGTATGAAAATCGTTACAATTGAAGCATATTCAATTAAATTTCACTGTTGAATGTTAAATTGCCATGTATTTCGTACGATTTTGATGCAAATAGATTAGCCATGTTAATCTGTTATGGAAAATAAAGGTAGAGAATTTGTTGTTTTTGTTATTATATGCCTTAATTACAAGGTGCTATTGTATTTTAATAATGCAGATACAGAGTAGGATTTCAGTAGTACAAAATTTGGATATTCTAATACTATAAAATATCTTTTAAAGTTATTACTCTACTGGAATTAATTCATTTGCAAAACTTGGTTATATCTTATTAGAACTATTAATAATTTTCTTGAATCTGCAACACTATTTCTTAACAAAATTTTCCACCCCATGCAACTTATTGATGAGTATTTATCACAATTTTTTCCTAAAATGTAATATGATTGTTATTCATTATTTTCCTCACTTTGTATCTGAGTAAATAATAGTTGTTCCAGATTTTAACAGACTTTACTTACATATTGTGTTCAATTGTATTTCTAGTTAAGTCAATTGCCCTTAATCTATATAATTTTATATTAAATTTCATCTGAATTTGCTTTTATGTTATTCCAAAACCATTAAAACAAGAGGGCTATTGACTTTTGAGTTTGTTAATTTACCATAGTGTTATAATTCAGTGGAGAGGTTATGTTGTAAGAAGCGCAGTTTATACGCATGTCACGCAGTATCGCATGCGAGGTCTTGTTATGGACCACGGTGGCATGTGCATGCATACAATATTGTTAATGTTGTTGTTACATTTCTTTAACAATATAACCACAATGTAAATACGGCGCTGTTCGTAGACACTAATAAAACATTCGTTTTTATATATTGTTTTATTTAGATTCCTATAATAATTTAATACTCAACCAATCTCGGAGATTAAGCAATAGAAGAATGTCATACTGGCATGCATTATATCATAAAATTAAAGAAAAATTATGAAAGCCAAAGACAAATTATACCATAATCTCCGACCTTAATCCTTATATCCCTGCCTTGTGCTGCGACACATGTCAGGATGGCACCGCACTGCACACATCACATATCACTAGCACTATCACTGCACTAGATGTCACTTGCGTCCTCGTGGGCGTGGTCTTGGCCGAGCTCGCGGGCGGGGTCGAGGGCGACGGCGTCGAGCGCGCGTGCTGCGACCGCGCTCTAACTGTGCCGCCACCAGCTCGGCGAGGGCGCCGCGCTCCGCCAACATCGATAGGAACGTACAGATGAACTCGTCATAGTTATGCGTGCGCCGGCAGTCGTCCACCTAAAAAATAAACAAGCAATAAAATTACAGAAGTATGGAAGACAAATATCATCTGTGATACAAAATTAAAATACAATTGACAACTGTCTAATAAGAAATAAAAGGTTAGGAAGAGGTCACTTCAATAACAATAATAAAAACAGAAATGGAGCATTAAGATAATCTTTTAAAATACCTTATACATATCCCGCTTGTCATTCTCATCATTGAGGGCCTGCTGACAAGCTTGCACTTCAGCAACTATGTTAGCCATGAGCAGCGCCAGTTCAGGCTGTGTGAGCAACAGCTTCTTGAGCCGGAAGGGCTGCTCTGCCACAGCGCCCTCACAATACACCAGTACTGCCATGTCGTTACTGCGTACCAGCGCTGATGTAGATGTTGGATATATCTGATAACATTAAAAAAAATGTCAACAATCTCGCCACAAAAAATCATAACCTTTCCGACCTAAATGGTGATTTTTTCATGTCAACTTAGAGTATACATATTACTTACATCATCCAAGATATGACACTCTCTGTTCAAAGTTACAAACTTAACAGTGTCTCCTTGTTCTACTGGATCAACTGCAAGAAAAAACATCATAATATTACATACAAAGTAGTAGTAAATAAAAAAAACGAACTGATATTCCATAAAATAAGTTAAATGAAAAACCAATTATTAAAACAAGACAATTAGTAGTCAGATTATAATAGGACATACATCAATTTTACTGATACATATTATAAATGCAAATGTGTAGATGGATGGATGGATGGATGTTTGTTAGAAGGTATCTGTAAATTAGCTGCATCAATCTTGCTACAATTTGGCATAGATTTAGAAGGTAGCCTGGAAGAACACACTAAATAAGCTTTTTTTTCATTTTACGCGAATGCAAGTGTGGGCAACAGCTAGTGAACTATTTGTACCCAATGCCAAGCTATTATCCTGCTGTGGTCTATCTGAAGCTCCAATTTCAATAGTGATGGGATGTGTATAATCAATATCAAATGTTTGAGCCTGTGATGATTCAATGGCATTTAGTATTGCCTCTTCCGTTATCTGTATTGTATCTATCAAGGAGCTATCACTGCTAACTTGAGATGCAGCATCTTCTAAAAAAATAAAACATATTTTAGTATTATACATTTAAGAATCTACTATAAAGTAAAAAATGTTTTCTTAATAACTCACCATTCAACTCTCTGTTTTTGTTCAATAAATGTCGTAAATGTTTGCTTATTTTTGAAATCGCTTCCTTCACTCTTTTCTGGTTCATTTCAAGTGATTGTAACTTCTGTGTCAGAGCTATTCGTCTATCGGGAACAACAGCCATTAAGTTGAATCTGAAAACATATATTAAACAATATGAAATATATATAGTAATATCATTCAATTTTTTTTAAATTAGAACTTGTTTTTTTTACAAATGTTTGAGCAATGAAAACTCACAGTAACACTCAGAAAAAGTGACTAATCTAAATTCTGAACAGACTAAATGTTTTAATGAATTGAAAAAATTCAAATGGACTAAAAGTCACATTTTACCTTGTGATTCCTTCCCACATAATACTAAGTTTTACTTTATAGGAGAAAAAGGTTTATGGTAAAAAAAATGTAATAAGTAATTACCTGATATCATGCACCTGCTCCCCAGCATCTCTGCCAAGTCTCTCCGCCATCACTCTTCGAAATTTATCTGTCCAATCCTCATCGCTAGCCCAGGGTCCATGGTCTGTGGGATATGGCTTCAGCCCATCCAACTCAAACAGATGACCATTGATTGGCACAAAGCTCACAAAATGGTACGCCTCACCTAATAACATAGAAGTTTTAAAAGAATCAAGTTACTATGTATACTTTGAAATAAGAAATTATTACAGACCTATCTAAACTTATATTACCTTTATAAAGCTGTAACCATAGAGCTCAATTTTTAAACAGAGAAAGTTTTCAAAATAAATTATGACATTGTAAGCCATATGTGTAGACATAATATCTGTAGACAATTATCAAGATTAGGGAGATGGGATTAGCACTCTGTCAACTGTATCTGTCTAATCATTGGCAACTGAGACCAAAACTCCTGTATAAAACATTTATCCTTCTCATTATCTTTGACAAAACAGAGGTAACAATATTTTTATATAGGGATTTTGGTTTTGGAATCCAATGAAGAGTGTTTTATATTGGTTTTTAAAAAGAGTTATATTTCAAAAACAATACCTGTAAATCGTCCAGTGGAGACTCCAGCATTTTTATCAGCCTTTTTCCTTGCTTGAGGGATAGCATGAGAGTTATGTGCACAAGCTAACTCAGGGGTGTTGCCTATCGCCCAACCTTTATTTTCTGGATTCATACCTAATGTATGGTGCTTGAAAAGTAAAATTGAAATTTGTTACGACATTTCTAATATGATTTATTTGTAATAAACTTAATTATGAATAAAATTAAAATGCATGGCATAAAATTGTGTTATGTTTAAAAATTTTACCACATACCTTTAGTCTACTTAGGGTTTCCCCTAAGTGAAGATTGGGACAGTTTAACAAAATTGAAAGGAGCGCATGAGTGGCGCAACTGTTCGGGACCATCTGTTGTGCAAAAAATATATTGTTGATGGTCTCCTCATCACGTACAAAGCTTTCAATTTGTTCGACAAATTTTCGACGCGAACGTCTTTCTTCTATCCATCTGAATAAAAATATAAATCCATATACAGGACTTTCTAAAGGTTTATGTAAGTCATAAATTTCCTCCACTTGAACTCCTTTTACACCAAAATCTTCCAATAGCAAAGTAAACAAGCCAGGATCACTTTCTAATTCGAGCCATCCTTCAGTTAAACTATTTAACTCAACCGGCATATTTTTCATATATGTGGTTTTCTTTTCTTTATAGATAATTTTTTTCTTGTAATTTATTGATTTTTGATCTTTTAAAGACAGGAATTAGAAATAGAAATCTCAAAATCTCTAAAATGGTTGATTCAAAATTTTAGAAATATGACATAAAACAGTAATGTCAATGTCAAATTGTCAAAGTACATCAAAGAGCACACAAAAAAAGCGATAGCAGCGCCTCTCTAACCAGTTTAGATATCCTTTCTTTGACTATAAGTGGGGTTACGATTAATGTTCAGAGCCAGAAGAGGTACGAACTGTTAGTAACCTGTAACCAGCTCCCAGTACCTCACATTGTTATAGTATAGCTTATATTGTATGCCAAGTTATTGATCCGCAGCTCAATGGTTTAAGTCTTTATGAGCTAATCTTTTGAACCGCTTCAGACCTGATTCACACACCCACAAATACGTCTATAACAGTTCTGTTTTGAAGGGCGTTTATCAAACACGTGTTTGACGTGTTCAAAATTCATCCAATTAGTTCCAAAAACTAATATAATAGAGAAAAGTTTGTAACGATACTTTTGAGGTATACAGATCAGACCCAGTATCAAATAAAACTACCAAAAACCTGTAGCACTTAGAAGTTTCAACTTCTTAATAATTGAAGCTTTGTCATTTAAAAAACTTATTCGATTCGTGAGAACGGTGCTCGATAAACGAGGTGCGATGCTGAGATTCCTTATCTTCATAATGAATGCGACGATGGTTGACTTAGGATCCGCTAACACAGACCGGGGCGGAGCAGATTTCTTACAGCTTTTACCTTTGTAAACAGACCCTTAGGTTTAAGCGACTCTAGCTTAGGGCTAGGAAGAAAAGTAGGGACAAGGTGTAGGACTGGGTATTAGGATGATTATTTTCTTCAATATCGTATATTGAAAAAATAAAAAATGCACACAAAATCATTGCAACAACATTTATTTTGTATGTACACTTAATTTTCGCAGCTTTGTATAATGTACAAATAATAAATGCACAACTTCAGCATTGTAAAACTCTTAAATCAATATAACTCGCAAGCACAAAGTGTTGCAATTCAACGAAACTTTCCATCGTTACAATAAAGTTAGTGTATATTAGGAATTGGTCCCACTTTTACTTTAGTGCGCTCAATGGTCACAAGAAATAATTCTTACCATTGAGTCGTTTTATTTTAGGTTAAAAAAGCAGTTGAAGCAGTAATTCGTCATAATTTGGAAAAGTACAGTTCGTGTTAATTATTTCCAGAATATTTATCCATTAACAATATTTTTACACGGACTTGAAAGTACAAATCGCGCTAAAAATATTGTTACGGCAATCGATGGCTACTGTTTTAGATGTCTGTTACTTCAGACCAACTGCAATTTACATGTTAGTTATTAGGACATTATTGACATGTATTGTGTGTTGCCATTGTAAATAATAAAAAATAGTGTCTATTGTTTCAATATGAATTTTGTAAAAATAAACTTTATTCAATTGTTTATTTTGAGTTTTATACGACCCTTAGTTTTGCAATTACGTGTTAATTAACATTATATAGGTTAATGTGGGATCATATTTTAATGATAGATAATAATTTTCAATGTCAAAAAACTTATGCTGAGATTATGTAAAAAAATAGCACAGATTATAAAGCGTATCCTTTACATAACATCAACATACAGTTTTATGGTTTCTTTGTATACAAAGTACGGTACTCACAAAACATCATTCAGTTGTGCAATAACGATGTGTACAAATTACAAATAATTATGCATGTTGGTGACTAAATGACAAGTATTTTAGTCGTTAAGTTGAGGACTAGAATAACTTTGAAACGAGTCAGTATCACTAAACACTAACCGTTGGTTGATGAGACCAAAATCTCTGTAAAAAACATATCGTCATCCTTGTCATCGTCGTTGATAAAACAGGGATAACAATATGTTTTAAACAAGGATTTTGGTCTTAGAAACCTACAGTAAATACATCTATATAGTCAAGTACAACGTGATACAGCCAAACAGAGAATATATAGGTGTAAGTGCATAAGTGTGTAATGTACAAATATTTTAGTCATTGTTTAAATTTCGAATTCACTCGTCAGATCAGTCATTTATATTAGTGTTGCCAATATACAAAAAATATATAATTTTAAACACCGAATTTGAAAGAAAGCTATTTTTTGAATAAGTTAATAACGATAAAATACAGTAGGTAAGAAGCCCGTAAAGGTAAACTCTGCTTTGTAAAATATAAATAAATTAAATGAGCAATAACAAAACTGAATTAATATGAATACTCTAGGCGGCTGCCGTGTTTACATTAGTTTACGTAGCTTTTCTATGAATGGCACAATACTAAACAATGTTTATAAATATACAATAAAATACCGAACAAACAATTCTATTGGTTTCATTTTATTATTTGTAAATATTTATAAATTATTGCTCAATTACCTATACCCCTATATGCTCACCGTTACTATTCCACTGAAATATGGAAGTTTTACATTACTTTCAGCTTTGATTAAAAACTATTTAGTATATACAGTAAAAATTATTAATTAAGTAACTAATTATAACATTTTAATATCACATAAGTACGCATCGCTCTTAAGTTTGACAGCCTACATAAATTAAAAAAAAATAACAGTTTCATGTGTGGATATGCCAGACGTACGAAAAAAATAATACCGCAATATTTCAACAATGGATATGTCCGCATTCGAGACTCAGGGAACGCTCGATGATTATTTACAAGTCTCATCACATGAAACGCAGTCGATTTAAAGTACTAGCACACGTGATTGCCATCGGGCCTGGCTTTCATCTGATGGCGTGGGTCGGCCTGTATGGAGGCGGTGGTGTTTTGGGTACTTGGGTCTGTGTGTGGCTGTGAGGGAGGTGTACGGGGGCGGGGACGTCGTCCAGCTGTCCGGGTATTACAGGCACGTCCGCGGCGGTGGAAGGTTCCAGACGCGCGCTGCTCGTGGCGGGCAGCAGACGTGCGGGGTTCAGTTTGATGGCGTCGTCGTATGTGGGCGGCGCGCCCGCCACAGTCTCGTAGTCTGGTGGCTTCTGCTGCATTGTCTCCTCGTCCGGCATCGATATCACGTGGATGGGATCGTCAATCTGGAATATCACAAAATTTTATGTTTACTAACAAAATATCTGAATTGTTAGGAAGGGTCTTTGTCTTTTCCTTTACCATCCTCAGAGGTTTTAAAAGAGTGAATTTCATTTGTCGTCACATATCTTTGTATTTTCTAAGAAATTTAGAGAATAGACAATATTCATTTGTACTGATGTTTCGTCAGTGGAAGCCCAGGGTAAATTAATTGAAACATCTACCTGGGATCCCTCTCCGACTAACGAAGGTTGAAATAAACACAATGGTACTTAATAATGGTTCAAATATTGCAAATCCCTTTCACTTTTTGTTCTTTGTCATTTACTCTCGGATCCGTTATTGCAATTTGTATGATTCAGAACAAAGACGTAAAAAGGTCAAAAGAAAGATCAAAATTAAAGATAATCTTTAGTCATATTATTTTCCTTGGGTTTTACAATTATATTTTAAATTAGAGCAACAAACTCACGTTTAAGACACGAAAGAAAGTGTAACAGCATTACGATTACTAAGCAGATTTTTGTCACCGGTTTTATTTTACAGATTATTTCACTTGAAGTAGTACCGTTTTGCCACCTACTTTTTTAATTTTTACCTCATACTGAAGTTAAAAAGTTTGTTAATATAAACTCTAAAACAACACACCTTTGCCATTGCTTTTGCCTTTTGCATAGTAAAAAAAGTTTTGTCGTAGTGTAGTACCCATAACTAGTATTAAAAAATCATGTCATGGGTTTTATTTTTAAAGTGGTATTATCGTGAAATATTTTACCTATCATTTTCTATGGACATGTATTTTATTTGGACATTTCGAAGCCACAGTGATCGATTACTACAGCTCTAAGATCAGATAAGTACTATGTTTATATTGATTAGGCCAACGTGGTTGACTATGGCCTAGTCACCTCTTTCTTAAGGATGTCACAGAGTCCCTCGGTGGGGATGAACAGTGAGCTGATGATGGATTTTGTATTTCTGCAGTTCACGCAGCGGTGAGCTAACGCGGACAAAATAAACATTACTAAAAATGACTCCGTAATTGACAGACTGATAGCCGTGTGAAATTTTTATTCATACTGAAAAGCGCTCGCTTTTGTGGCTCACTCTATTCCTCACCTCACTTCGCAGACTGCAAGGAAACAAGAGGAAAGAACCCCAAAATTTTTTATCTGACTGCCATATACAATTTTACAGATTCACCGAGCTTGTGGTAATCCGCAGAAGGTGCTTATAACTTCGTTTAAGTGTAACTAAGCTAGTATTGGGATTCTCGACTCGGATCGTAACTCCTTTATTATTGCTAGGTTGGGCATAACAATACTGCCCTGAAACCTGAGGTTTGTTTAAATTACCCAATACTGAGGTTTGTTTAAATTACCTGGTGGGTATCAGGCGTTGCGCGGTCGTTGTGTGGTTGCCGTGCGGGCGACTGCAGCCAGCAGCACATGGCGGCGCAGATGAGCAAGGCGCCGGCGACGATGCACGCGACGCCCACGTAACGCACTGGTTCCGCGTAGTCTTCTGCCAGGCCCAGCCAGTTGATGAGCGCGCCCGCGCATAGCAGTACCATTCCGTACCGATACGGCCGCTGAGACTGTCTGCCTTCGTCCAGAGACATCCCTGCACAAACCATAAAAAAACATTAATATAATTTATGGTTTATCAAAGAAGAGTTAAGGAACTTTTTCGTGCAATTCAAATATACTAGGCACACTGAATTCGGCAGCGTATTTTATTATAAAGTTAGTTTTTCAAGGAAAGAAAAGTATTTTTTTTGACGTCACAAATTACGATGTTCGTAAAAAGGGTGGGACTAACAATTTATTAATGACGCGAGATAAGTTTAACAGTTGATATCTAGTTAAAAGTGTCATCGCCCCTAAGCATAATGACTGTAAAAAATAACGTCATTAAGGTAATAAATGAATAGAAAAAGTAAATGTAAATAGCCCAGTAAACTACATAACGATGTTCAAATCGGACACGCGGAAACTGTCGGTCATTCGGCGCACTGGGGCAATGGCGTCGTAACGGGACTCACTATTCAGAAACCGGTAAATTTTAAAATGAAAGTTGGGAAAGTTCACAATTCAATGAAAATTGACTTATTACGTACCCGAGTACGTTTTGCGAGCACCGTGAGAGTACTGGCGACTAGAAGGAAATAGTTTTAAATATTTTGGATGGATTAATGAGGAAAGGTTGTCATTAGGTGTGTGCATCAGGACTCGTTCAATCGAGGCCGGGCAGAGACAATAGAGTCTTGAGAGATGTGGGTCAAGTTCGAAACGTACGCCGCTTAGTCACGCACTGGCAACTTCCATAAAAATTACATTCTAATTACAATCAGTCAATTGTTCTAGAATTAAAAACAAAATATCGATATAACATGTTACAATGTAAAAAACTATAAGATTTAAAGATACATTAACACATTGGTTATGTTTTCATTTTTTGTTAATTCAATAGGGTTAAAGATTAAAGGTTTTGAAGAGAAGAAGAGATGGAGTGCTCCTTTTCCTCAATACCATTCTCTTGAATTCTAATATTTAGCCCTGGTAATATATTGAAATTCGTCTGGTCTGTATTAGGTAATCTTATAAATTGAGAAATGTGTATAACTTACAAGATCTGTCTCTATATGTAGCATCTAATAATATTGGATACATCGGCCACACCATCATTAGTCTTTTCAAACACTTCTAGAAGCTTCGATGCAAAAAAACCTTCCACAACGTACGATATTTTCGTCACTGCTATTGAACACTTGTGCAAACTATTTACGTTTTATTCTTATGTAAATATGCGGGTGTCTATGCAATCTCACGTCAATACAGTGAAACGACAAAGAAAAACAAAGGAGATGATAAATCTTATCCGTTAAGATAAACTCTAGAATGTACAAAACGATAACGGAATAAACTATATTTAAAAAAGAAAACATTGGAAAAATCTTGACATTGACACAGACGTCTTTCGAGAATGTATGTTAATCACATTTTGATACTTTGAATGCTTCTATTAAAATAAAAACGTGTTTATTAGAGGGTACTTTGAGATTGAATGCTTGAAAAGGTTTTCGTGTGAGAAATGAAGTTCGTTGACATTAGTTACCCTTTGCCTCGGTGTTAAGAACCTCTGATTTTAATATTTAGAAAGTTTAATTCTTATCTTCAACAGACGATATCATGATTGATGATTTATGATTTAAAAAAAAAACATGTCAGCACACGAGAACATAAATTGGTGTTTTACAATACAAACAAGGGTAAACTAATGAATTATATATTTTTTCTTGGTTGCCTCTCCATTACGGTGCCATAGACAAGCTTGTAAGGGATCTTAATTTATTGACGGACAGGGATATCTTAAAATTTCTTTTCAGTCTCTTATAATGAAAAAAGGTATTGTCTTATTTTTTGTTTATTAAATAATTAGCTGTCGTCCGCAACTCTGTCTGTGTGGATTAAAAGCTTAATTAGTAGTAGCCTTCTGTATGTGTTCATCCAGGCTACATCTATGTTCTACATCAATGCCAAATTTCAGCGACATCCTTCAAACAAACATCAATCCATCCGTCCAAACATTCGCATTTGTAATATTAGTAAGAGGTGCAAAAGCAAAGTATGGTTTATAAAGTTTTTTTTTTTTTGTGTTTATATGGTAGCTAAATTTCTTTGGATCAGAGTGGATGGTATGAATGTATCTGGCCGTCATTTTATCGCTACTGTTCTGGTCTACGTTTATTATAAGAGAAACCTAGACGACAATAATCAGGTGAGGCGCAGTTGTCCAGTTGTAAGCAGTACATTGCGCAGTTCGGTATCGCCCACGCCCCTGCTACGGCTTCCCGGCCGGCCTTACTTACTCGTTAACGCGATGTATTCGGTAACAAGATTAAATCCCCCTATGGGTTACATTGTTTACCATTCCACATACCAATGTCTGACGTATATTGTAATTCGATAGCTACGAGCTCAACCTAGCTTTGAATCGTAATTCCAAAAACGAACAACGCCCTCTAGCGGGTTTTGAGCCATGTTATTCCATGAAGGGTCCAACCAAGAGAATGTAACGTCGTAACATCATATTAAAGCGTAATTTTCGTAGGTTGATCAATAGAAATTTTCTTATCAAATCTGTTTTGAAACACAAAAAAAAACTTTTTTGTTTACGGAAATTATAATATGAATAGCCATTGTTTAAATAATTACTTATTTATACATAATTTACTTATTTGTATATTTTATCTACGTTCCTTTATTAAAGCTGCGTATAAAATATTATCAATACGTTAAAATAATATACGTATATTGGATGCATTGACAATAAAATGCTTTCAATGTCACGTGTTGCTTGCTCTGCGATAGGACAATCCACTTGAACAAATGTTTGCCGTTTCATAATACTTGATAAAATAAAATTAATTATTCAAGTGCATAGACAACATGATAACTAGCTGTTAGAATTTTAACGAATGAATTAATTTGAATGGAAATTAAAATATCTTGTTGCTGGGCCATCTTTTTCTCACAGATGTACGCAATTTTATGACGTTTTTTTTATATTAGAATAAAAAATATTACACCATAGCTTTATTGGAACAGATAAAATATTGATTTACCCCTTAATAGTATTAATCTTACTAATATTATAAATGGGAATGTTTAGATGGATGGATGTTTGTTTGAACGTATCTCCAGAACTGCTGAACGGATCTCGATCAAATTTGGCATACATATAGAAAATAGTTATACTCATGTTTTAATAATTCTGTGCGGACGGAGTCACGGGCGACAGCTAGTACTTAAATTACCGGGACTAGGACACTTTGTAATCATGTAAATCGAATTTTAGTCAGATATCCTTGTCGGTATTTACTAATAGTTTAATATTTCGGATGACACTACAGACATAGACGGTCAAGGTGTAAAAAACAATTCATTAAACGTATCGATATAATGTTAGGTATAGCATTAGTTTTATTGAACGATGTCGACGTGGCCGTAGCTTCATTACCAATCGATTGATTTCCCAAGGACGAAAATAAACTGCTCATTTGTGTGTTAAATATCATTAACTGCGCGAAGGAAAAGTATTAATTATCATTAACTTTTCAATACGTTAAATAATATAAAGAAAGCACTCTTATAAAAATGGTTATAAGTTCGTTGTTCTACTGTTTAAATTTCGTAGTATCATGAAGTTTTTATGAAAGAGATTAGCAGACAAAGTCGCTTTTTGGTTATTAAAATCGCTACAGTTTTTTTCATCTACTGGAAAATTTTGTTAATATTACAATTTTTAAACAGCTTACAGAAGTAATTATAAATGTTAATTTATTTAACTTTTGCTGCTTAAAAATTTTAATATTTGTGTATTTTTAATAACAACTTAATCGTACAAGTTTTTGTAGAGTTTTAAAAATGCTTGGTAACAAAGTATTATGTTTAAAATTCAAAGAATACGCCAATCTGGATTGTACTATGACTTTAATGGTCTAGTGTTAGCTGGATTAGCTAATAGAATTATAGATACATTAACAGAATTACTGGCAGCCTTGAATTCAAATAAAAATAAAACGTAGTCTATGTGTATTTATAGACGTGGCAAATAATGTCATTTGACATAATCCTATCCGTAATTTTAATCCTTAATTTGAACTACACGATACACCAAGAAACTAGAAATATAAGGAACTTCCACGCTTTTAAAAATTAAAACCGTTGTTGTAAATTAAAAAAAGGCGTGCTAGATAGCGTTTTAACGAAAAAACAATCTTATTGTAATGGTGTTATGTAATAAAATCTTTTAAAAATAATAGACAAAGCATTTAATCGTATTGTTTTGTAGTTGTTGCTGGCTGATGTCTTTTATCCTCCTTTGATTAAAAAAAAATCATATTACGTAACAAACAATACATACGTCCGTGACTCAGTTTTTAAAATTATATAATTCTTATATGTTACGCAAAAAACTACAAATTGATCCGTAACAGACCATAACCGACTCAATGTCCCTCAAAATCGTATTTTTAAGTACATTTAAATATGCATTAGTTCTTCACACTGGCTCCGTGTACAGTTCAACCATTCTGTTTGATACGGGTTCTAAATTTGAACAATAGAATTGTAGCAATTAGTGGGGATAGGTCTTATATGGTCGTTATTAGATGCGCCAGTGGTGTCCTACCGGAAGATGTACCGGTTGCTTGGAACTCCACCATGACTATCTCGAATCGTCCGAAGAAAAGAGTTATATGAGTTATATGTACTTTTATGAGTTCTCCTAAGAGATATAACTGTTTGAAATTGAATAGGGATGGGTCGATTTTTTTTATAATGATGAAAGTATAAAAGGTATTTGCAAAAAAGTGTTTAGTTTGGAGATGAGAATTAGAAAAAAGTTAATTGACTCTTATACACTAAAATATCATCTTACTATATAACATTGGGCTTCTAGGCTACAGAGGAGAGAAGGTCACAATACAGAAAAATGATACGCGATATTTATTTACAGAAGAATAAACTGATATAAAAAAGGCTAAACACTCACGTATATTCGTCCGGTGGCGGCACCGACTAGTTTCGAGCCCATCGGGGCCCCTTCATCAGGATGAA